AGGCCTGACGCCTCGGCCAGAGGCGTCAGGCCTGGGCAAGGGGCTGATCCTGTGATTGGAGGTTGATGGGGGTCAACGCCTGAGGGCTCCCAGTATGTGGGAGGGGGCAGGCTAGGCTGAGGGACACTCCCCCCCTCCCCCACCCAGTGCATGAATTTCGTGCACCGGGCCCCTAGTATATATATAAAAGGCTAATATGCAAAATGTCCACTTGGGAGTTCGACTGGGAGACCATGAGTTTGATCGATTGCTATGATGTGCACTGACCACCAAGGGGCAGTGTGGAATGAAGGAAGGCCCTGGCCAGCAGCAGAAAGGCCTGATTGGCCCTGATCACCTGCCAGACCTAGGGACCCTACCTGTACACAAATTTTGTGCACCAGTACTCTAGTTAGAAGATAATTAATCTCAGCAGTAGGTAGGTTGAGTACAGTGGTAGGATCAGAAACAAGATTGCTCTGGGACAAGACCTGAATGGAAAATGGGTATATGGAGATAATGAATATTGACACAGTTTTAGGATGAGAAGGAGAATGTATAGTAGTAGTTGAAGTGGTAGGATCTTATACAGTGTTTTGTTTTTTTGGATGAGAGAGTTTTGAGCAAATTTTAGGCCATGGGGAGGAAACCAGTTAGTAGAAAGATAGAGGAGACACTTAAGCCAGAGTACTTACTTATTGGAGGAAAGTCCCTAAAGATAAGGGAGATTTTAAACAGGAGAATGAGTGAATGGTGGGGCAGGAGCCCCTTTTTGGGGCAACGAAAGACACCAGTAAGGATGGATGTAATGTAGATAAGATATGTGAGTGTGGGCAGAAGGTGAGTGGAGGGAGGTCCCACATGATGCTGAGACACAGTTTGGAGTCAACCATGATAGAACTATAAGAAAATAAGAACAAGAATGAATTGAAGAGTAACGACAAGAGTTTAAGAGTTGTGTTCTGAAGCCTCCACCCAACCCCATTCTTGTTTGTGCATGTTTGCTGGTGTGTATCATGAGAGAGATCAATGCTAAGTATTGGGAGGAAAATAGAATGTGATTTCAGTCTAGCTTTGAGCTCAGGAAACGGAAGAGATCTTTTAACTAGGCTTTGAATAATGGAAAGTTTAACAGGCAAATAACTAAATTTAGCTTAACATTTATTAAGTGCCCATTAAGTGCAAAACACCATTAACTGCCAGGTATATGAAGATGACTGGCATGGTCCCTTCCTCATGAGGAGTTTACATTCTAAAGGTAAGACACACACAAAATGTCACAACAATACAATGTGGTAAGGACTGTTTTAGAGGTTTGTAGGTAGTGGTACAGGATCAGAGATGAATAAAAAATTATGCTTAGTTTGAGAAGATCAGGGGAACCTCAGGGAAAAGGAAGAAAGGGTGTTCTGGAGAGAATGTCAAGTTGGTGTTTTTCCTCTGTACTTGGCCAGTTTGGGTTTTTAATATGATGACCAAGGGAAGCGAGGAAATGTTTTCAAAAGGGGGCAAAACGCATTCCTCAAAAGAAAACCTAATAACATTTATGTTTGTCCTTGGCGAAATTATAGAGCAAGTTGTTTGTAAGCATTTGGAAAAAACAGTGGTTACAGCTAAGACCAAGGCATGCTAACCAAACCTCATTTCCTAATTAGATTGACTTGTAAATTAGGACATAGCTTTCCAGCTCATCAGTGGGTTCTTGACGGTGTCAGAGCATTTTCTCAGCCGTAGAGTAGCCAGAGCCCTGGACCAGTTGCCTCTTGCCTCAAATAGCTTCCTCCTTTTACCCCAGTATACCATTTGTTCTGGAGTGCCAAACAAATATCATCTTTGTGTGCCATGATATGAAACAGAGAGGAACACTCTTGATTAAGGGAATATCACAGAATATACCTTGAGTTGGGTACAAGGCTAACAAGTTACACAAGAGGCACCATGAGCTGAGTAATAATTCAGCCAGGTAAAATCATAGCTGTTTGAAGAGTAAGGCCCTGACAATTGATTAATGGTCAGTTTGGAAGGCAGTCTCTAATGCCATGCCACAAAGCTTTTATTGCCCATAGTCCTAGCCTCACCATATTCATCAGCAACTTGGATGAAAACGTGAGAGGCATATTTATCATATTCAAGGATAATAAAATGCTGAACGGGGTAGGGCAGATTAAACAGTAGGTGAATTGATTAAAAAACCAAAAGAGCAGAACCAATTGGATGAAGTTTAATATAACCAGCATTACAATTCAGCTTTTAAAAAACAACTCTAAATTATTAGCTGTATATAAGCATTATATAAAACAAAATGTGTAATTAAAAAATATTCCTGTTACATTTCAGAGAACAAATATGATTATCTTCCAACTACTGTGAATGTGTGCTCAGAACTAGTGAAGCTGGTTTTCTGTGTGCTTGTGTCGTTCTGGGTTATAAAGAAAGGTGAGTCTTGAAGCAATACTATATACTATATACGATCACAGAATCAAAAAATTTTAGAAGTGTCAGGCAAGAACATTTTATATCATTTAGCCCAGTGGTCGGCAAACTGCGGCCCCTCAAGTGTGGGTCTTCCACAAAATACCACGTGTGGGTGCACGCGTACAGTGCGATTGAAACTTCATGTCCACACTCAAGGGGCCAAAGAGCCGGATGTGGCTCATGAGCCGCAGTTTGCCGACCACTGATTTAGCCCATTAATTTATATATGAGGATGCTAAAATACAAACATAATTATGATAATCTGTCTTTTTCAGGTGAAGAAGTGGGCTCAGAGAAAGGTCTGAGCAGTTCTGAGTAGGAGGGCAGAGCCAGGACTCCAACCCATGTTTTCTAGTGTCCTGTCCGTTGCTTTACCTTGTAGCTTGTTCTTGTAATGGGTCATACAGTGAGTTAGTTATTACTCAAATTCAGGATTTTTAAAAATTACTCCTGTCTGACTTAGTATGTAGCACATTGCAAAGACATCCCCTTTTCCACCAGCAGAGGTAGTATAGTGCATTGGAGTCAGAGAGACTGTATTTAGGATAGATTATTTTAACTTTTCTGAACTCGAGTTTCATCAACTATCAAATAAGGACATACATCCTTCCTCAAATTGGAAGTATCTAGCCTTTTGTGGCTCTTTAGTATATATTTATTCTTCACATGCACTTCCCAATTAATGAGCCTTTGCTCTCTTTATTACTTTGATCTGCCTTCCCATATGAGGTAAACAATTTAGTAAAGGGCTTGTACAAGAAGATGACTTGTCAAGCTCAAGGGTTTCAGTCTGTGCACAGTTTCTAGTTAGTGGAATATATTCCTTAATCTCATGAAATCCATTAATTTACAGGCCTAAAATACTTGTTTTCTTTTTATTTAATATTCTTTCTATTATAGTACCTTCCTAAGTTTTTGAAAATCTAGAAATGGGACAATAACTCATACTAGGATTAGTAAAAGTTAATTTTTTCTACTTCCCTAGATATAATTTTTCACCTAGTATCTCCCTTTTCTGTTCCTCCGCTCTCAGGGAACAGGGAATAGGTGGGGAATACCAGCATACCAGCCTGAAAGCTTGATTTGTTTTTTCTTTTAATTTGTTGATCTCTTGGTTTTATGCTCTCAGTGCTATGAGAAACACAAGAGTATCCTCATTCGCCTTAAGGGATACTTATATTTCAAGTTAACAGAAATTAGGAGAATCAGTAATCCTAAAGTGTTGCTAATTGTCAGTGATGATGCACAGTGGTGGGGTGCAGAAAGACAGCATGCAATGAAATTCTGTATTGTCTTTGATTTTGTAAGGATAACAGTCATTTATGAAAGCAAGTTCATAAAGCCTCTCTTAAAGAATTGTGTCAAAAAGCAAATATAATTTACTGTCTATAAAAATGTGGACATTCTCCTCAAGATCATTTATTTATTGCTGTATTTCTTCCTTTAGAAAATCATCAAAGTAGAAACTTGAAATGTGCTTCCTGGAGGGAGTTCTTTAATTTCATGAAGTGGTCCATTCCAGCCTTTCTTTATTTCCTGGATAATTTGATTGTCTTCTATGTCCTTTCCTATCTTCAACCTGTAAGTAAACATGACAAAGAAAATAGCATTGGAAAACACAGAGAAATGAATTTCAGGGCTAATCTTTTTTTTTTTTTAATCATTTTCCGTGGCATTGTTAGTTTCTCATTGCCCTTCCTGGCCTTCCTGAGGTTTGAGAATCATCTGAGTAATGACTTACCAATCTGTTTGCCAGATTCTATCACTTGTTAAAGTTTGCTGCATTAAACTGCAGTGACTATTCAAGAGTTGCTCCCTGGCCAGTGAATCTGGATCCATCTCTGTCCCCGATCTAGTTGTATAGATGTGCTGAGGTAGCGGCAAGCAAAGACCACAGACATAGCGCCCCCAAACGGCCTGAACACCAGCTAGGCTCTGAGATGAAAATATAGCTCAACTTTGCTGCCCACACTCGGGCAGCCTCACTCTCCCTGGTTGGAGTTGCTGACAGACAGGTCATCTCTCCTACCTCAGCTGCACCTTTTCTCAGGGCTCTGCCCCCAAGCATGATAGATGGCTGACTTCGGCCAGTGGCACACCACTGTAAGAGTGCTAACCAGTCAGCGGTTGGGAGCCTGGAAAGGCGCGGGCCAGAGCTACATGTGGCTGATGGGACAGAAGGGTAAGTGGCAGTGGCAGAGGTAAGATGGCAGTGGTGCGTACTTTATGTCTTTGCAGTTAGGCTGCTGCCTTGCCCCTTCTGCCCCCTCCGAGCTGCTACTCTGTCTTGGTCAGCGTCGGGGTTGCTCTCCTTTTACAGGCTTCCCAGACCCAGGTTCTCCAGTGCCCGGAGCCTTAGCCTGGGGGAGGGACAGGCTGGGGGAGGGACCATGGGAGGTTGGCTGTGGGAGTGCACTGACCACCAGGGGGCAGCTCCTGTGTTGAGTGTCTGCTCCCTGGTGGTCAGTGCGCATCATAGCGACTGATCTTTTGGTTGTAATGGTCACTTAGCCTTTTATATATATAGATATATTTTTGGTATGATTTTATTTTTGTTAGTCCTCTCTTAACCAGCAAGTAATTTAAGGGTAGAGATTGTATCCTCTCGACTCTAAACACTACCTATAACTTGATAATACTAGGAATATTTCTTATCTCTATCAGCATTCTTAGGCCAATTTAGAGAACCATTAATAATCAAACTTAAAATTTGGTCTCCTGCTCTTACCTATTACTCAGTTTGGGTCATGTGTGTGTTTTCTCCTAATGTTTTATAAAATGAACATTTCTGTTGCCATTGTTGCCAAAATGTGTTACAAGTTTTAAAGAATAAGTTCGGGGATTTCTATCATAAATAGTATTTTTATTGGTTGTAGTCTTCTATGTGAAGTCTCTTAAATATAGCCAAATTAGTTTGTGAGTGGTATGAAAAAGAGGGATCAATAGAACACAGTAGTAGAAAACAGGAGTTTGATTCTTTTGCACAATTTAGAAGCTATGTAACTAGGCACGCCCCAACTGCTCTGAGTCAGTTGCCCATTTGTAAAAGAGAATAATGTTACCACACCACTTGTACTGGGTGGTCACATGAAGTTCTTTTCAGCCCTGTGACCTATATTGTTATTATTACTAAGTGTTCATTTCATCTAAACTGTGTCCTCTCCTAAATTCTTGCTTCTACTTTCTCAGATCTGAGAATTCCTATACCCAAAGACATAATTATTCACATTCAATAAGTATATATTTGTTTTATTTTATTTGTATCCAATAGATTATGTTCTTAAATTCATATCCCTTCCCTACATCCCCAGTACCAAAGTAAAAGTATAATTTCCTGTTTTTTTCTTCCAAGTTACTGTTTTGCTCTTCCTTCCTGATTGTGTAAAACCACAAATATTACAAAATAAATCACATGGCATATTCTGTGTATTGCAGTGCCCAAGTCTAATTGGAAAGAATTAAATAGAGATAAATGGAAGTTTGGGGGCAAAGAGTTCTTGCTTTTTATTTATTCTGCACTATTGCATAGAAAGAGTTTTCAGAATTCATCAGGCCAGCCAGGATGCTTGGTTAGTACATTTGCACTGCCGTTATTGTGACTGATCAGAGCCACCACTTCCCCACTCTTACCAGCCACTTGCTTCATCTCCTTTTAACTAGGGGTTCGCAAGAATTTGTCTACAGAGAAGGACACTGAGGAAACAAAATAGTCCCATAAAAATTCAATAGAAAAACAACAATGTTGTATTATTGGAATTTTTGTTAATTATTGGACTTACTCTTATTTCTTTAATTCAGCTTCATATTAGCCATATGTGCTGGTTATAAAAGATTATTGATACTCTTTGGAGTTTAATCATTTTAAAGTGACAGCAGGGAGGAAGTCAGGGTGAACTAAATCAGTAGGATTTGTTTTTAAAAATTATTAATATTGTCAGGTTCAATTATGAGGGGCAGTGATAAAATTTCATACTTTCTCAGCCAAAATGTACACATGTTCAGATTAATAGTCTCCTGTGAAATATGACTGAATTTACAAAAACAGACCTTTATGAAATTTGGCTAACACATTTCTAAGTTTTTAGAACAATGTGAATAAATCCAAAGGACTGTTAGATATAAATTTGGTAGTGAATCACTGGTATTGAGTCATTGTAGTTCAACCAGGAAAATGGATTCAGTTTCTACAACAGGTAGGATGCTTAAAAGTCTGCATCCCAATTATCTTAATTTATAAATGGGCCTAACAGATTCTGTCTTCTCTCTACCCATAGAAACAGTATTAAAAGTCTATAAAGCACTTTGAGAACTTTAAAAAGTATGCTATAGAAGCATGGTAACTGTTATTTCAGACCCAAACCTTTAGAATTTATAAGTATTACTAAATCTGCACATACAGATTATTTACACAGGTATTTTCTGAATTTCAACACATTTTGAAATCCTGTACAATAATTTGATCATATCTGCATAAATTTAACAAGCAATAAAAATGGAATTTAATCCTCTAGTGAAATAGCTGCCCTAATAACCCCTCAAGTTTTTGACCAAAGAGCTTTTCTTGTCAGGTGAACCACTGAGCTGGGAGATTTCTGAGGTCAGTACTTTATTTGGATTGTAACTCTATCTCTTCTTTCTTTCTAGGCCATGGCTGTTATCTTCTCGAATTTTAGCATTATAACAACGGCTCTTCTATTCAGGATAGTGCTGAAGTAAGTAACTTGTTGTGAAAGCATATGTGGTATTTTAAAACGGCACAACCCTGTTTCAGGTGATATGCCCAGAGCACTGAACCCTCCGGTTCCCAAGGCCAGGATTTTATTCCTTACTAGAGGCCTGGTGCACGAATTCGTGCATGGGTGGGGTCCCTTGGGGTGGCCTGTGGGGATCAGGCCCCAGCTTGCACCGCCAGGCTTGCAGCCCCAGCTCTTGCCTCCAGCCTCGCAGCCCCCGGCCCCGCCTGGCACCCCACCGTGGCCTGGCACCACCCCCTCACCTGCTCCACCATCTCATCTGCTGGGCAATCCATTGGGGACGGGTCCCCCATCCCCCACCACCAGTCACCATCTGCGGGGCAATCAGTGAGGCAATTGGCCCCTACTCACACCCACATTAGCCTGGCACTGCCCGCTCACCTGCTCTACCATCCCTCCGCAATCCCGCTCTCATCTGGGCCAACAGTGCCTCCACTGCCACCCACTGCCAGCACTGCATCGCCAACACCCGCCATGTTCCGTGCCACCCCCTGGTGGTTACAACACATCATAGTGAGTGGTTGAACTCCCGGTCAAACAATTTGCATATTGGGCTTTTACTATATAGAATTGGCTCTGTGTTGGCAAGTTGCTTAACCCACCTAGAAAACAGCTCCACTGCTAGTCTGTCTGAATCCTCTGTGATTCCATGTTTCAAATGTGGTTTTTTTTTTTTCTTAGCATCTCAATAAAGCAAAGATAGTTGGTGGGGTTATGAGTACTTTAATTTTTAATGCCAGATTTTCAACATAAAATTCCTGAGGTGTTTTTGTTTTTTCGTTTTGTTTTGTTTGCAGAATCTATATTACAGTACTAGGGAACCAAGAAGTTCCTAAAATTAATACACATTTGTTATTTGGTGTTTGGAGAAGATAAAGAGTAACAAATTCTTTGTTAAACTACTTGAGATGAGTACATGATTTAAGTTCTAACTGGCAGAGTATTTGCATGAGAAATCGAATTAATAAAAATGATAGATTTTTAAACTTCAAATTTCTGTCACCAGTCTTTCCTATCTCCAGGAAGATAGGAAAATTAAAACATTTTCAATCAAATAGGCTCTGCTCTCAAGTAAAGATCAAAATGTTCTAAGGTGGAATGGCGTCTGGGCACTTAACTCCAATTTGATTTGTTATTTAATGATGATGTTGATGATGATAAAAATACAATTAACTTCTTGTTATATTTTTGTAATTGTTTTATTTTAATTTTGCATTCACTTTTCCTTTTTAATTTCTTATTTCTCAGTGTGCTATGTCATAGGGTGTTCTCATAATTTATATGTACAGATGATGAATGGCTTGATGCATAGGCACTTAGTAAATATTTGTTGAATCCATGATGCCTTCAGTACATAAATTGCATGGAATTCTTAAAAGGTTTTCTTTTATCCTGAGAAAACATTCAATTTAATAATTGATGTAAGAGATAGAAAAAAATGAAGATTTTTGTGTCATCCAATTTAAATGTTACAGTACACTAAAGTTTGCTTTTGCATGTTTTATGAATTTTTTTTCACTTTATTCGTGAATTATGAAAAGAATTCAATAAGCATATTAAAGAATGCTGTCCTAAAAACATTTTAAAGTCAACATGAAAGTCACTTTGAAGGATAAAAAGTTGGCTTCTGAGAAAATATATAAGCAATCATATTTTTATATCAATTCCTATAATAAAATTAGAGATGCATTTCCTTCCATAAGGGACAAAAAATTGGCTCTGACACATAAAAGGTTCACTATTTAATAAGGGCACGAAGATCTCAAAAACGTGGGTTTGTCTTAAGTAAATTTTTTTTCCTCTGAAATGATAGTTTATAAGTAAGTTATTATATAATACACTAGAGGCCCAGAGCACAAAATCGTGCATGGGTAGGGTCCCCTAGGCCTACCATGAGATCGGGGCCATCTTCTGCCTGCTCGCCAGTCCCCAGTTTCGCCCTGCCACCACCCACCCCGGTTCCCCATGGTTCTCCATTTGCCATCCTACGATCGGAGCCTGTGGGCCCAGGGGAGGGACGGAGAGGTGGTCAGTGCACCTCATGGCAACTGGTCAAGCAGTCGTTCTGGTCATTATGCCGTTATGGTCACTGGGCTTTTATTATATAGGGCAGTGATGGCGAACCTATGATGGCGAACTCATTTTCTTGGTTGATTTTTCTTTGTTAAATGGCATTTAAATATATAAAATAAATATCAAAAATATAAGTCTTTGTTTTACTGTGGTTACAAATATCAAAAAATTTCTATATGTGACACGGCACCAGAGTTAAGTTAGGGTTTTTCAAAATGCTGACACACCGAGCTCAAAAGGTTCGCCATCACTGATATAGGATAATATGTATTATATCAATGTACCATGTCAAAATTACATCAGTTTAAAACTAAATTTACCAAGGAGAAGATATAAAGTATGTATTGCCTAATTTGAAATTGGCCAGTAATTTGACTCCAGGGCATGAGCTCTGAGGCCAAGGTGGGGGTCCACTTAGAAAGACCCTACCTACCCAGAAGTGATTCAGCTGCCCTGTAGGCAGCAGGGGCAGGTAGGCTCTCGGCCAGGCAGTGATGAGGAAATACTTGACTCAGGGCCAAATGCTGCACTGAGGGCCTTTCCTCCCTATTTTGACTTAATCACACATTGACCCCATAAGGCAGGTATAGTCATTGTCCTCATTCATCAATAGATTCATCTCAAGCTGCATCTGTGCTTGGAGCCCAGAATTGAAGTGATTGGGTGGTTCCCTTTGACTGTGAGGAGAGAGTGTCTGGGTTGGACAAGGCTTGAGGCAGAGGAACCGACTTGAAATGAGCTACCCCTTTTCATGCAGAGAGTGCCACAGCATGGGCAAAGATGGGCCTGTTAACTTTTTAAGTATTTAACAATTTATGTTAACACAGTTCATTTTTAATGTAACCAAATCCAAATCTATGCTAGAAACCATTTGCTTGTAATACTAAGAAATATAATAATGTTAATTGTATTCTTGCTAGTTTTATTGAAAATTAATATTGTTATAAACTAAAATTTAAAATATTTTTTTCACATTTTTATCTCTTGTTATTCAGAGCAGTAATATTGATTCTTAGATATGTGTTTGCTTTGCGGTTAATATCTCTGTTTTGATTCCTTGAAAGTTATTTATGTTAAAGAAACAATTTTATAAAGTACTCAATTTTTATTATTTCCTTGAGCATTAACTTAATTCTCAGTGCATCATAATTTGACTGATTCATAACAGCACTGAAGCTACTCTGAAGTACAGCTAAAATATAATAGTAAATCTAACACTATCTTTTATGAGAATACCTTTTAAGTATTTTCTGTTATTACATTTTAATATCAACTTTATTTTGTTCTATATTGATAGTTTGGTTGTTGGTAGTGTATGTCTGTCTGTTTTTCCCTGTTAATCTATTCCAGTGATTCTCAACCTTCTGGCCCTTTAAATACAGTTCCTCATGTTGTGACCCAACCATAAAATTATTTTCGTTGCTACTTCATAACTGTAATGTTGCTACTGTTATGAATCATATGGTAAATATCTGATATGCAGGATGGTCTTAGGTGACCCCTGTGAAAGGGTCATTCGACCGCCAAAGGGGTCGCGACCCACAGGTTGAGAACCGCTGATCTACTTAGTGTCTCATTTGATGGTCTTTTGCCCTCAGCAATAAAGTTTTGACCCAAGAGTAGCAGCTTGAGTCCTATCACAAAGTCTTAATTTGTTTTTCATAAGTAGCTCATATTTTACTTAGAATATTACAGCTCTTGTCTCATACTTCACTCTAGTAGAGCCATCAAATACCCTTCCCATACAGATAAAGAATATAAGGCTACCATGGGAATTTGCTTTTGCTTGTCTTCATTGTCTGTGGAGGTTTCATGGAGGAAGATGCATTGCAGGATTGGCTCAGTGGAAAGATAAAAACTGTACCACAGTGGTGAACAGGGTGTAGGAGGTCTGAGTCACTGGATTAATGCTGTGTTGAGCACATGAGTTGGAAAGGAAAGAAGATGCAATCTAATGAAAGAAACAAGGCATTTCAAGGCATTTGTTGCTCCCCATTACAGAAAGGGTTGTGATACCTTAGAGTAAATACATATATACCATACACTGGGCAATTGCAGGAAAAAGGTAAAAGATCACAAGGAATGTAGAGAAGGAAACGTAATTCAGAGGAACGGCGAGGGGCTTTGAAGCAAAGGTGGTAGTTATTCCAACTTTAGTTTGTTCAGATTTCCAGAAGTTTTGTGGTGGTCAGCTGCCATCATGTTAGCTGAAACTTAAATTAACTGGTTTGTCCTCATCTAAATTTTAAGAGACAAATCAATAGGGTCTGGGAGTAAAGAATCAGATCTCATTGCAATGAATTTTTACGTAAAGCAAAATTTTTTCAACTGTTCGTTTATATCCAGCAATGTTATTAAGTATAACATTATAACTCTATACATATATAATATTTTGGTATTGTCAAAAGAGTTTCAGAAGGAATGCTGGTCAAATTCTGTTACAACTCCTTTCAGCTCTTTGGAATGAGTTGTGATAGTATCTGACCCATGTCTGTGGCCCAGGACCTTGACCACGCTCACATAGTTTGTTCTTCACTAATTCAATGGAGGGACATTTGGTTTTCTCCCTGATCTGATAGTAAAAACCACCCATGATATATCTATTCTCTGTGGACATTGGGAATCCTTTGATATTAGTTTATAAGGAGCCTCCAGCATAACTCGGGGTTTTATTTTTGAACTTAAAAATGGGCTTTTAAGATTGGGCTAAGAAGTGATTTTGAGGCAGAGATTTGGGTGAGTAAGGAAAAGCAGAGGATGGTTGTGTTAATTTTATTTTTCCAAGTGATGTTCAGGCCATGTCCTCTTGCAGCCTTGGCTGGAGTCAGAGGATTGTCAGAACTGCTGGCAGCCAGCTGCAGAGCAAGAGACAAAAATGGTCTTTGTTTTGACACAAAGCTCTATGTCATTGCAAAGCTGCTGCTGTTCAAATGACTTTATATTCCTGGACCCACCTTTCCAGTCTGGGTCATTTTCTCTTACATTTCACACCTCATTAAACAATGGAACTGTTGATATCAGAGGAAGTAGTTGGACCCCTAAGATTCCCTCACAAGACTACTGGGTGTTCATTTAAAACAACTCAGGAAAAGGAAATTGCAGCAGAGATGAGTTCTTTGAAAATAGCCCTTTGTTGACTCACCAAAGGTGAGTAAGAATGCCTCCTGCG